TCTCTGAGTTTATGCTGCTGCTTTGGATGGTGCAGTGGGTAAGAAATACAAATGAGACCTCGAACAAAATCAACAGCATCATCTGGCTCAGTATGACACATTACAGAAGCAGCTGCTCTTGAGCCCATAGAACGACCTAAAATCAATTAAACTCAATTAGAAATATAAACATTTACATACAATAGTAGTGGTGGTATGGTAAAATTAGATTTACCACTCATATTTATGGAGGAAAAAAAAATCACAACTCAAAAAAGTGTTAACCAACAAATTCTAGTCGTCTTAATGGAAACCTACAGTTTTATTTTATTTATTTTTTTTTTTTTACCTACAGTTTTATTAAAAGCTAAAAACTGATCTGGCTTAAGCCAAATTTTAAAAAGAAGCAATTCTTTTTCTCAATACTTAAAAGAGTGAAGAAATTATTTTTCAATGAATCAACTTTAAGAGTAATAAAATGCTATAAAAGGAACCTTATAAAACACAAATGCTTTAAATCTGCTTTAAGCATATAAAATACTTTATAATAAAGTATCAAAGTTATATATCAAAATAAAATAACTATTAACTTCTTGTTATCAGTTTTAATATTATAATTTATACTTACCTCCAAGAAAAACACCAGCAAGTTTGTATTCTCCTGAGGTCTTCAGGTAACTCTAGGTAAATCAACCAAAAAGAAATTATCGCCTCTTCTCATATCATATGCCACCAGACAGTCTTACCATTACTGATATATAAAAGAATTTATGTGAAGACAACTGTATAAATTTTACAGATTTTTTCCCTCTCTGGGTCATATATTCACTATTAATACTTATGTTGGTTAATATGTCAGGGAAAAAATTAATTTGCCTTTAAAAAAATATTCAAACAGTATACTATTGGGATACTATCTGGGAATGGAGTCGTGTGAGAATTCTGAGTGCTTGTGAGAAAACAAAACAAGAGTCGTGTGACATCAGTTTCTTCAAAACAGAATTGTTCTTGAAATGTGTTTTTATGCTTCTCCTAGGTATAACAGATAGGAGTGGGTTTATTTAAGCAATTATTCATGTACCTCTACAGAAAAACATGCTCTTGCCATGTATAGCTTGTCCTGGTAATTGAACTCCTTATTCATGTGATTCTTCTTAACCCTCAAACTATAAACTGCCTGATGCTCTAAATAAAGTTGGTTATTGCATGAGACATTAGTCTGCCTAATTTATCAGCTCCTAGTTCCCACTGCCTCTAGAGTGGTAAATGGCACCAGGGACCTGAAGTCAGCTATGAGGTAAGAGAGTGGAGACCCTCACAGAAGGAGATAGTATAACAGGCAGAAACCAGGGAAAGCTTTGCCTTATGTCGAAGAGCCTGTGCTTAATTTCTTAAAGAAAGGAGAAGCCTAAGTATCAAAATCACAATTACTAGATTTCTTGCAAGTTGTTGTTTTTGATTTCCAGGAGGAGGAACTGTAGATGAAGTATGGGAGAGTCTAAAAGAATATTGAAAAAGCATATAAACAGGGAGGAAAGATCCTTTTTCAATTTTGAGTCACTTGGGCATTGATTCAAATTGTTACTACAATACTTAAGGACGATAAGGAGGGTATTTAATCATGACAAAGAGATGGCTGATGCCTTGAATTGATATAAACTGGATGACTAAACCTTAAAATTGACAAAAGAGGAGAAAAGAAGGAGGTTTTCCTTGTGGAAGTGAAATCGAAAATTATAAAATGGCACGAACTAGGCCAGTGAGGGTTCCCTCAGCTCCCTTACTGCAGTATCCTTTAGATACATATCCTCCATTGCCTGAAAACTACAACTTAAGCAAGCTAGGGAAAAAGTACCTCATGTACCCATCTCTCTTTGGCCACATAAGTTGCGCTTGTTATTTCCAGTGCAACTTCAGCAAAATTAAAATGTTTTATTAATTATGCACTAACAAATCTATTTAAAATTCTAGAACAAAAGACAGTGTTGGACAGTCCTTTCACATTATTTTGAGTGGCAAAGGAAACACTATTTGAATCCAGACTAAAATAACCATTTGTGTATTAAGTGTAACCTTTGCTGCCTTTAACTTATTTCTCTCACTAAATTGTCTCGTACAGGTATTATAGCACAGAGAATAAACCTCTGGAATGGATTTATTTACACAGTAAAGGCCATAAGATACTGCTTACCTTACTGTCCTTGCTCAATTAATAAATAAGAGAAAGACCCGATGTCAGCAATTAATCATATGGGTCTCTTTTTTCAAGCTATTTGCTAGAATTCTCTGATCAATATAATAATTAATAGTACCAGACTTAGTTTGGATCTCTTTTCTTAGTGGTCAAGTATTACTTAGTATTATAATTTGCTTGCATATAGGATACTCACTAATTAAATGACTAATTAGATTTATCTAAAACATTTCAAATCAAAACCATTCTGGACATCCTATTATTAAAAAATAAAACAGGGAAATGTCAGAACACAGTTCAAGGATTGAGTCATGTGACAATTCTGAGTGCCTGTGAGAAAACTCCAAGACAACAAGGTAAGACTAGAGTTTCTTCAAAAACTGTTGGAATGTGTTTTATGCATTACTCCCAAGTGTGGAAGATAGATGTGAGATTACTTCAGCTTTTGTTATTCATATACCTCGATGAAAAACAGATTTTTAGCCGGGCGGTGGTGGCGCACGCCTTTAATCCCAGCACTTGGGAATCAGAGACAGACGGATTTCTGAGTTCGAGGCTAGCCTGGTCTACAGAGTGAGTTCCAGGACAGCTAAAACTACACAGAGAAACTCTGTCTTGAAAAACCAAAACAACAACAACAACAACAACAACAACAAAAAAAAACGGATTTTTGCCACATGTGGTTTGTCTTTGTTATTGAATAGCATACTCATGTGATGCTTCTTAACTCTTAAAAGTATAAACTTAAGAATATATACTATAAATAAAGCTGGTTATTGCATAAGATTTTAGTCTGACTCATTTTTAGGTCCCATTCTTCCAGGTTCATGCCACCAAATAAGATATAAACAGTAAACCTGATAAAGGAAAAATTATTTTCTTAAAGCTAGAAATTTCAAATTTGATGAAAATAGCATCCAATGCAAATAATTTAAAAGAAATTCAGCATTGTCCTTTTTCCAGGACTTTTAATTCATGCTTATAAACAACATAAAAAGATGGTATATTTGTTATATGCATATTATAGTCCGTTTACACCTCTAGCTTGCCAAAGCTAGATTCTAAAGTTACATTACTTCAGTGAGTTTCTTGAGCAGCATGAAAGAACCCTTACAATGTCAACATTCATCTCCATGAAAACAAACTGATTACAGAAAAAGAGACATATGAACATTAAATAACCTCCAGGTACTGCCAAGTTTCCAAGGATACTCATTAAGGTATTTTTATCTAAATGTTAAATAAGACAACAAGGTATCTTAAATTTATGAAGAATTTTAATCAGAACCTGATTATAGGTAAATGTATTTTTTCTTACCAAAACTGCTTTATATGCCTTAATTCTATGTACAATATTAAGGCCTTTGCAAGTAAATCTCAGGCAAAAAAACCCGTGAGATGCAAGATGGGATGCCAGTGACATCAAATGAGGAAGATTCATATCTCCTGATGCTCCATGTGTAAGAATTATTCCATATGCTATGTTCTTGTTAGGTACCAAACAAACGGCATCCAGTAATTTACTTCCAAAAGGTATTTTTAATTTAACCTAAAATTCGAGAGAATAAAAGTATCAAATTATTTCCTTGACTATTTAAACACCTGAATAAATATACATATTGTTTTGTAAGACTTAAGACTGAATGCATGGCCTCTATACAAGTCATATTTACAGTATTTAAGAAATATTTCCTGTCATGTGCTTTAAGTGCTAGTGTATTAACTCATGTATGTATTCCTTATAATTCTATGAGGCAATTACTATTATTCCTACTTTACAGATAAGACATAGCAGATTAAGTAATTTGCTTGGTTACATAGCTATTAGCTAAGAATCAGGTCAGGTTCTTGTCCTGGAATCGTTACTCTGCAATTCTAATTCTATTCTGCCTCTTCTGTGCAAACTGAAAACAAGGCTATTATACAGAAATGATGATTAACCCATTCTCCTACCTCCCAGAAGTTAACCAGAAAATACTTTATATATGAAAATATCTTACCTCTGTATGACTCATTTTCACTGTTGAAAAATAAACATAAGGTGCATTACATCTGAGAAGCAAAGGGCATCCCCCTGAAAAGAAGATTCTGTTGTAAAAGGTCAGTTGTGAGACATGGATATGACCCAAAAACTATGAATGAGCACATTCAAAAGCTGAAATAAACACAATTAGAAATTAGCTCTTTACACACTTGTATCTCTGTACATATTTATTACTCAATCATATGTTACTTTCAAGATTTTTATAAGCACTCAAAACTAATTACAGGAGCTATAAGATAAAGCAAATTTGATACTTTGACATAGAGGCCTTAAAGTAGTTATTACAAAACAAGATGCTGTACCTTTAGAAAAATATTTTTGAAATATATTTGTAAGAATCTTCATTCTTGCCGGGCGGTGGTGGCGCACGCCTTTAATCCCAGCACTTGGGAGGCAGAGACAGGCGGATTTCTGAGTTCGAGGCCAGCCTTGTCTACAGAGTGAGTTCCAGGACAGCCAGGGCTACACAGAAAAACCAAAAAAAAAAAAAAAAAAAAAAAAAAAAAATCGGATCTTCATTCTTTACCACCCCAACTTAATTTGAATATATCTACTAAATAATTTTTTCATCATTCCTTTTTTGATACAGTCTCAACAATTTTCAATTCAACTTCCCTTAAGATATTAAATCATTTTCACCATTTCATTTTCTCTCTTTCATGTAACAGAAGTCCTTGTCATGTGATTCTATTGACTCTGGGTTTGGCTCCTGGAACATTTCAAAGTGCTATTTCTGAGTTAAGCTATGGCAGATTCCAAGAAATTTGAACTGATTTTCACTGTGACCCACAGAGAAAATCTATCCCAGGAATTTTTTTCATTTTCAACCAGAATCCCACAATAGAGTTTCAGAAAAATTTAAAGCCAAATTAAAGCCTAGAACCCAGTCTAAGTCACAATTGAGCTGAAGAACCATAAGCAATAAAAGCCACTATAATTTTTGTGATCCCTTTTTACTGTGAGAGCTTTCATTTTTCAGAATATCACTGGCATGAGAATTTTTTTTAAAGATATATTTATTTTTATGTGAGTACACTGTGGCTGTCTTCAGACACACCAGAAGAGGGCATCAGGTCTCATTACAGATGGTTGTGAACCATGTGGTTGCTGGGAATTGAACTCAGGACCTCTGGAAGAGCATACAGTGCTCTTAACCACTGAGCCATCTCTCCAGCCCCAGCTTGAGAATTTCTATTATCATCTATATGCTTTCATCAGCATTTACTTATTCAGTAGGTAACAGTAACATAGTTCAAAGCTCAAAAGATAACAGGAATATATTATATTGTCTCATTTCACTTTTGCCTTGCATTCAGAATCCCTCTCAAGGCAACCAGGATTACTTGCTTCTTGTGACTCTTTTTAGCAGATATACTTACAGGTGTGTAAGTACATTTGCAAGGAAAATTCATGGAAAGAAAATGCTGCATCAAATAATCTGTAGTTTTAAAAACTAATTTAAGGGGGCTGGAGAGATGGCTCAGTGGTTAAGAGCACTGACTGCACTTCCAGAGGTCCTGAGTTCAAATCCCAGCAACCACATGGTGGCTCACAACCATCTGTAATGAGATCTGATGCCCTCTTCTGGTGTGTCTGAAGACAGCTACAGTGTATTCATATATAATAAATAAATAAATCTTTAAAAAAAATAAATCCTTAAAAAAAAAAAAAGAAAAAAAAACTAATTTAAGAACAGGCAACACATACATTTATTACTCTTTGTGCTGAATGTACATGTGTGCAAGTACATATGTATGTGTGTGTGTGTGTGTCTACATGTGGAGGCCAGAAATGAACATCAGGTATTGTCCTCTATCACTCTTGTTTATTAAAACAGGGCCTCTCACTGAACTTGGAGCATAACAATTTGAGTAAGCTGGCTGGCCAGCCAATAAGCTTTAGATATCTGCCTATTTGGGCTCCTCTAGTCTAGGCCTGGCTTTTAAATGGATGCATCAGATCCAAAGACAAGAGTCTTAGCTTTTATAACAGGTTCTTTCTCAGCTAAACCATTTCTCCAGGTCCCAATACAAAATTCTAAAACAAAAATGTATATAGTGAGGTCTTATCACACTTTCTTTAGTATTAAATTCCTTACTACCTTCCAGAAGCAACCACTGGCTAACTTGTGTATATATATGTTTCCTCATGTCGTGTTCATCCCACCCCAACCCTGTTGAGCCTGGTGGTTATTAATCTAGCTATTAAAGTTTTGAAAGAGAAGCAGATGAAGGAATTATGGCTTTAGGGCTCTTATTTTCGTATGTGTATTCTTACAATTAACTGCTGTGGCTCCTCCAGCTTAAAAAAAAATTCTTTGTCAAAATAAGCCTCTTTCTTGTCTTTTAAATTTGGGGAATCACTCAATCACTCAAGAGAATGAAATGAGGAAACTAATGGAAATACCTTACTGCTCCTTAAAAAGACTTAAACTAACACATTAGTCTTCCACCTCTATCCACATCAATGCACTTACCATTCTAGTTCCCACTATATCAAGTACTGCCAGTTTCTGTGTGCTTTGAAGGCTATAATTTATTCAGACTAGTTTTATTGCCCCTTCCCCCCCCACCCCCCGCTGGTTTAGCCACTGCTCTTTAGAGTTCATTATTCAACTATTAATATTTCCAAGGTCTGGGCTGGAGAGATGGCTCAGTGGTTAAGAGCACCGACTGCTCTTCCAGAGGTCTTGAGTTCAATTCCCAGCAACCACATGGTGGCTCACAACCATCTGTAATTGGATCTGATGCCCACTTCTGGTGTGTCTGATGTCAGCAACAGTGTACTCATATAAATAAAATAAATCTTAAAAAAAAATATTTCCAAGGTCTCTTTCCCAGTGACTTTGTCCCTCACCTGGCAAAAGCCAGGTTGGGTGGGGCATGACTATAATCTCAGGATTTGAAAGACAGAAAGGAGAATCACTGCAAATTGAGACCAGCCTCGGCAAGACCCTATCTCAAAAACAAAACAAACAAAAACAAAACTAAACACAAAACAAAAAAGAAAAAACAAAGAACTCTTTTCTGTAATTTTAATGGGATTTCAGAACACAGTACAATTAGACACGTTTTTAAGTTAATATCAACCTGAGAAGCTCTTCTAGATTAACCTGGGATTTTAAAGGAAAACTTGCCTCTTCTCCAGACTTCATTATGAACTTGTTCTATTGCTTCAGTAACACCGAAAATGTCCCATATGCTAAAAGCTCAAAGCAACTGGTATCTCACACCCCCCCCCTTCTTTTAGATAAGGGAGGACTGAAGCCTGCCTGGCTCAGCCTCAGAGTCTTCCACAGCAGATGGAAACACTGCACCGACCCGGTAGAAGCAAGGTGACGACTGATGACACAAAACAAATATAGCTAATTCGGTACGGGGTTCAAACGTCGTGGACAATCAAGCGTACAGTTTTGGGGGGGAGGGGCTACTTATACTCACAAGATAGTATTTTATGGTCGTAGCTTCCACAAAGCTCCCAAAACACCACGGCCACCGGACTTCCAGTTAAAAAAAAATAAACATTTACTCATTGTCTGTTAAGTCTGCAGCACTACCTAGGCTGTCACCGCGCGAACAAAGTTGTGAATTCTAGTATTGCCGGGGTCGACCCACCAAACGATCAAAAAAATCCAAACCCGAGGTTAGAGGTCGACAGGAACCGTCGTTTATTCGCTCAACGAACGTGCTTGTCCCGGGCCGGGCAGCCGCCTGGGTGGCGAACCTCACGTCTGGGAGAAGGCTTAGCTGCCGTCACCACCGACAGCTCACGACAGTCGCCGCGGCCCG